AGCACACCTCGCTTTTTTCAGACCGATGAGCTTTGTAAAAATCGACGTGTTTCAGAAAGGCGGGGCATAGAGGAGAAACAATAATGTACAGTATGTGGAAAATAATGTGTTTTTTTAACCTTAAACCACATAAACACATTTTATTACACCAAATACACAAAATAATGTTCTTTTTAGCAGCATCATATGACCCGTTTAAGAACTTATTATTCACTTATAGGGTTAAATCTGAAAAAGTGAATCATTTTGGCCCATGTGTTGTTATACCTGTTGCAATACCACTCTCCCTGACAGCGGGAGCAGCGTTTTGCACCCACTCTTCCACAGTCTCCACACTTGGGTTTGTCTGGGATTAGATTCTCCATCACATCTAGATTATATGTTTGAGCCAACCTGATCAGAAGGGTGCAAATAAACAGTTATACAGTATATATGCATACTGTTAAAACGACATTTTATAACTGCTCCTCATCACTTCATCCCTTATGAAAGACATTTACAAATAGACATCACATCTCACCTGCTAGCTTGCTCTCTTAATTCACTTTCAGAGGGGTTGAAAACATGTGTCACTTGGTATTTAGCAATGGCTTTCCACTTGCTGCTGTTCTCCGTTACAATATTATTCCATATCTCTGGCACCTAAACGAATGAAAATGATGTTTATTTGAAACGAAACAGCATTTATTTGAAATAAAAAAAAAATATTTTGTAATATTATGAATGTAATTACTGTCACTTTTGATCATTTTAATGCAACCTTGCTACATAAAAATATTAACTTCTTTAAAAAAAAAATCTTACCGACCCCAAACTTTTGAATGGTAGTATATGGGTGTGTGTTTGCTGGAATACCTGCTCCAAGATGAGATCTTTTTTAGGGGCCGCTGGATCTGTGACAGTAAGTTGACTGAGAAAATGCCTGAGATCAAGTAGATTCGGTAACTGATCTATAACAACGTCTGTCAAAAACCCACGAAGCTGCATTGAAAGAATAATAATGATAGATCACTGATATTGAATGAATAAGATATGGTGTCACAGAACACAGATAGATAGATAGATAGATAGATAGATAGATATTTAAAAAACAACTTTTGCCCCATGTAAAGTCTTACCTTTAAGAGCTGTGTTTTGTTAAAGCTATTGAAATCATATTTCCTTTGGCAGTCTGGTTTGAGTAGCAGGTTCAGTAAAGCCATCCACACCTGGCCGTCATGTTTACTCAGCTTTAGCTGATCTTCAGGCCGGACGGTTCTCCACTTCCCCTCTGTGTATTTCTCCAGTGTTCCTACACCAGAGAAAAAGACTAGACTATGCAGTCAAAAATGTTACTGATAAACTCTTTTCCCTTTTCTAATGTAAGTCTATGGAGGTGTTTGAATAGATTTAAGCAGGCTTAGAAATTACTAAAAATATGGTAATTCCAGCATGCAACTGAGAACATGAATTTCGTTAATAAAATGTTGTACCACTTTGAGCATATTTCCTGATAAACGTGCTGCTCATGGAAACATTTGATCTACTCCTATGAGACACTGTGTAAAGCTGTTCTGTAATTTGATTTATACATATGTAAGGTGGGGTTATGTTCAGCTTTCTGTTTCAATGTGTTCTCAGTGTGTCTGATTAATGATTACATTCACCTGTTCTGTTAATTATCTTGTCAGTTCTCCCTTAGTATTTAAGCCCTTAGTTTTCCCCAGTTCTTGGTCTGTTCTCGCCTATGTTAAGTGGTTGTTGTATTATGTTTCCTGAGTTTTCCTTGCCTGTTGGATTTATTGGATTAAAGACTGTTTTTGCTGATTTTCTTCATCCTCATATGCTTTGTACAGCCATTTTGTGACAATATAACACATGCTTAAAACACAATACAACTGAAAGACTAACCTCTGTTCCAGGGGCAATTTTTCACCAATTGTACCAGCACACAGGGCATATTATGAGTGCACAGCATCCTCGAGAGCACACTCAAACTCAAACTACATTAAAAGGGGATATTTCAACATTCAGTACTAGGCATTTGTTTTACAACTGATTTTGGAGATTTGGAGAAATGTAGCATTGCATCACTTGCTCACCAATGGATGCTCTGCAGTGAATGGGTGCCGTCAGAATGAACAGCTGATAAAAACATCACAATAATCCACAAGTAATCCACACCACACCACTCCACTCCATCAGTTAACATCTTGTGAAGTGAAAAGCAGCAGGTTTGTAAGAAACAAATCCATCATTAAGACGTTTTTAACTTCAAACCATCACTTCTGGCCTAAATACTAGGAAGTGTTATTATGGAGTCCATAATCCATAATAATGCTTCCTCCAGTAAAAAAAACTTCAAAATCCACCCACATATTTGTTCAGAACTGTTTTGGACTGTTTTCACTTGTAAACAGAGCTTGACCTGTGCATATATCTCTCCTGATTCAGACAAGACAACATTTTCACTAGAAAAAGCAATATTATGAATAGAGATCTTGTAATTTAGCCGAAAGTTAAATGGTTTGAAGCCAACAGTGCTTTTCACTTCACAAGATGTTAACTGATCGACTAAAGTTGTGTGGATTAGTTGTTGGACTCTCATTCTGACGGCACCCATTCACGGCAGAGGATCCAATGGTGAGCAAGTGATGTAAAGCTAAATTTCTCCAAATCTCTTACAGAGAAGAAACAAACTCATCTACATGTTGGATGGAGTAAATATTCAGCACATTTTCATTCTTGGGTGAACTATTCCTTTAATATTGTCTCTTTAAAAAAATAACCAGTATCTTAAATACCTCTCAATGTGATCGGTGATGTAGCACAATACTGACAGAGCCTTGACAGAGATTTCAAACTCTAACATGTCACTTTGCCTTTGCAGATCCTGCAAGAAACAGTGTACAGTGTACAAGTACAAGTAAATGTAATGTAAATGATGCTAATGATAATGAGTTAAAATTACATTTTGCTGTAATGCTCAAAAAGTGATCTTCACCTGTACAGATGCCGTGTCTGACAGCTGTGCGTGTGTAATTCGGTCCTCCGTTGGGATCTGTCCAGAAACTGAGCGTCCCGCCAGCAGTGTGAGTTTGCGATGACAGTAATCCAGTAAATCAAGTACACTATCACAAGCAGCCTCGCTGGACTCCTGCAACACACAC